ACTTACCTTTTCCAATTTTGAGCTTCTTCTTGCGTAATTTCGTTAAAATAATTTTTCGAACATTGGCAATTGAGAATATTTACAAATTAAATATCATCGATATTGCATAAAGTTTAATGCTTCCGCCGTGAGTGTGGTTAAAAGCTCGTCTTTACCATATTTCTAAGAAATATTAGAGCAGATGTAAAGTTTCAGCAAAATCCATCCACGGTACCTATTCTTTCCTCCTGCCTCCATATAATTAGTCGAAACACTGTGCATTGCTATCGTAACTTTATCTATATTTTTACCATAATCATTATTATTTTCTTCATTTACGTATTCATCTTCATCTTTTTCTTATATTAAATATTGAAATTTACTATCATCTTCATCTTTGTCTTTGCATATATTTTTTTTCCTCTCTTTTTTACCGTAGCTTTTATTCTTTCCTTCGTCTACAATTTAGTTATTCGTCTTTACCTTTATCCTTGTATTAATCCTAATCTGAATTTTATCCTTAAATTTAATTCCGTATCCATATTAGAGCATACATTTACAGGGTAATCCTGGCTAAGATAATTAAAAGTCTTTCATATGAAATGAAAGACAGACGAAAAAATAGTTCGAAAGACTTTTATTATTCTAGCAAAAAAGTCTTAGAAAAAAAGCTATCCTTCGCCACTTGTGGTGAAAACCTATATATTTTGATATCATCTAGCCTGCCTCGCTCTAATAGTTGCAATGGCCGAGCACAGGCGTGCCATTCGGGAGATCCAAGCTCTATTCCTCGGGCAGTGAAATATTTTTTTCTTTTTTAATTTCATTTTGTTCTTAACTGACTTCACAAAAAGAAGGAGGTTATCAGTTCGTCGGAATATATATATTTTTTTATGTATTTTATCGCATAACTTTGGACCACGTTAACCCATTTCGATAATTCTTCATCGGGAAGGTGGAACCTCAAGGGTGGTCCAATACTAATTTTGTTTAGATCCGATAATTTGATCGTGAAAAATTAACGATAACCTTAAATTTTTATATCAGAATTAAAGTCGGTTTGGTTTTTTGCTTAAAAATTGCTTGTAATTAATAGTTTATTGTTAAAACGAAAACAATACATATGTTTTTAATATCTTTTAATTTTTAGAAACGTATTTAATATATTTTTCTAATTTGATTTAATTTTTTTCTCTCTTAATTTAAGTTTCTTTTAATATTTAGATGTAATTGTTTTGTCAAGAAGAATATTTTTTTAATATTAATAAAATTTTTTCGAACTTATTTTATTTTTCCCCTTTTTGATATTTTTGGCCCAATAACAATTACGTGGAAAAGCCACAATTTTAGTAATTTGTTTTCTTTTTTAGTCTATTTTTCTTTTAAATTTTGTTGTTTAAAAAAGAAACACTTTTTAATAACCTTAAATTTTTAGAAACTTATTTTTTATTTTATTTTTTTTCTTTTGTTAATTTCATTTTCCTTTAATTTTTAGATTTTATTGTTTTGTAAAGAAAGACATATTTTCAATTCCTTCAATTTTTAGGATCTAAGTTTAGTTTATTTTTTGTATATTTTAATTTATTTTTCTTTTAATTTTAAGATTTTTTTTATATATTTCTTTTTTTTATTTTAAGCATCTACTATTTTATTTGTTTTTTATTTTTTTTACTTTTTCCAATTTAATTTCTCATTTTATTGTTTTAAGAAGGAGAAACGATTTTATTTTATTTTCTTGATTTATATTTTTTTTTTATTTTTGATTTATCATATTATTTTTTTTTTTGGTTTTTGAAGTAAGTTAATTTTCTTTTCTTCTTCTTCTTTTTTGGCGCTGTAACCACCTAACCGATTTTGACCGAGTTCAGCAAAGCACGCCAGTCATTTCTCTTCTGTGCCAACTAACGCCAGTTGGAAACGTCAGTGGGGGCCTCCCTCTTCCTCTGCTACCACCAGCGGGTTCCGAGT